TCTTCCTTTTGGCTTGATATATCCCATTTTTGTATGCCTTTGCAGTGCTCCAACTGGAAGAAAAAGAAGAGGTGGCCCTGGAGGACTAAACAAACTATGTGGTGTTTCTCCTGAACTACAAACCATCGTAGGGCAACCGACTCTGCCAAGGACTGAGGTTTCGCCACCTGTTTTCTTTTCTTCATTATTCTTTCCAGTTAAGATGTGTAAATTCCAACCCAAGATGGTGCAATTACAGATCGTGAAGCAGTTGTGGGCTTACATAAGGAAAAACAACCTCCAAGATCCTAATAACAAAAGAAAGATTATTTGCAACGAGGAGCTCCGATTAGTTTTCGAAACTGATTGTACTGACATGTTCAAGATGAATAAATTGCTAGCTAAACATATAATCCCTCTCGAGCCTACAAGTATGGCTCTTATAAGAAAACTATTTCCGTTTTCCATTATAATGGTGTTGATGCTCATGGTAGATTTTGAAATCTTGCAGAGCAGAATGTTCAAAATTCTAAGAAACCTAAAGTCGATGTTGAATCTGGGAACCAAAATGATGACCCCGTCCCAATTGTGATAATATCTGAAGCCCTTGCGAATTTCTTTGGAAGCGACGAACGGGAAATGTCACAAGCAGAGGTATTAAGGCAGATCTGGGAATACATAAAGGTCCACCAGCTCGAGGTCTGTAAACAAGTAAATGGCTTTCATTCATCATTCCACTTTATCTGAGATTTTGTTTTTTCATGGTAATCACTCAACAAGGATTACAAGAGTGCTCCTCAGTTTCACTTATATTAACTTCCTGTCTTATTCCCTAAATATTTAAACATGCTCTCCAAATTGATTTTCTCTAATTTCTTCACGCGCAATAAATAAAACACATGAATGGAACTTGAACTATGTTTTTTTCTGTGTACAAGCTCTATTCAGTTAAAGAATATAGGTTACTATGTAAATTGTTTAAAGCATATTCTCTTCTTTTGAGAGGTTAGTTATGTATCAATCTGCTATTCCTGCTTGCATGGTTAAGGGGATCATATTGTGGTCACATTCACGATCTTTTCTCCTACAATTTTCCCGGTTTGGAAATGATTTATAAGAAAAATATGTATTATCAGCATATAATTTCTGTCCAGTGTGCGTTTTTAATGATAATCCTCTTCAATATATAAGCACTATGTTTTAGTATCATTGAATGTATATTTGTTTATGGTTTTGGCTTTTTTATTCACAGTTCCGATTTTTGTAGTCATTTCAGCTCATTCTTTCAAATCAAAGACAATTTTATGTTATATGCATTCCCTTCATCCATTAATACATTGCAGGAACATTATGATACTCTTTTCTCTGAGGCTTTTTCTTCTTTTGCTGATTATGTTTTAATCAAATGGAGAAAAAATGCAATTAAGATGAATGGAACTAGTATGTGGTCAGAAACATTTACTGATTGCTTTCCTTAGAAGCCAGAGGTTGCTGATCTGTTCAGCTGCAAGATAAATTTATGTATCACACTGTTTTCTCTCCTAAAACAGATATGGCGATCTGATTCGTCTTAAATGCACTTGAAAATTTGTGAGAAAAAATTGGATTATATGGCCAAAGATAGAAATGCAAGGAAGGAAGATTTTGGGCTAAAACAGTCGGAAGTAGGTATCAGAACATTATTTAGAGACTCTTTATGTGAGTACTAACAAATAATCACACCAATGTATCACCTTCTCCACTTACTTGAATCTTTGTTCTTCCTATATGATATTGCTTTTTTTTTTTTAAATGAAGATATCTTATTCCAAAACCTGCATGCTCTCTCTTTCTGATATCAAATCACTGAAAAGAACTTGCAATTTTAATATTTGAAGTATTGTGTTCTGCTACTTTTAGGATCCTCTAAACTCAATGACCATTATATGTGATGCTAAATTACAAGAGCTTCTTGGGTGTGAAAACACTTCAGCATTGGGGATACCAGAGATGTTGGCACACCGTCATTTGTTCAAGAAATCACGACAGATGATCAACATTGACTGGTTAGTACTAGTTAAGAATGTCTTATATTTATCTGTTAGTTACTTTGATCCCATTGCTTTGAGCTCATCTGCAAAAGGTTACGTTATTGTATTGTGCGATAAAATTTCTTGTCAGTTGTTCTCTGTTTCGCCCCTCTTTCAAA